GTGAGCGCGTGCATGTGTGCGTTAGTCTGCGTGCGTGTGCGTTCGTGGATTCACGCGTGTGCGCGCGTGTGACCGTGCAGATGTGGGCACGCGTAACGAGCGCCGCCTCTGCGCCGTCTACTACAACAAGGCCCCGGGCTTCGAGGTGATCCACGGCCTCCTCGACCGCGTCATGCAGCTGCTGGCGGTCGCGAGCCGCTACTCGGCGCCGGGCAACGACAAGGCCTACCACATCGAGGCAGACCAGGGTAACGTGCGCCCAATCGCGCACCGAATCACGCACCGCGAATACCGACACGCACGCGCGTGTGCGTAGAGGGGAGCGGTAGTGTAGCGGTTAGCGCATGGGCGGAGTTTGCACACCTTTATTAATTTTCTTTTCAGTCGTTTACAATTAAGATTAAAAATAAATTTAATTATTTGCACCCACGATTCTTAATGCGAGGGACAATGCAAACCCCTACCCCCCCCTCCACCAAATATATAAGTCAAACTGCGCCTTTGGGTTCGCGCTACGAACCCGGCGTCCCGGGGTTGGATTCCCGCTCACAGCCACCACATTTAGAAACGTGCATTTAGAGTGTTTGGCTACTCTAAATGTCCACATGATAAGCCACTTCATTGAACTATCACTTATGGCCAGGTCACTTCTTAAAAGAGCCATATCGCTGTGTGCTTTAGCTGGTAAAATAAAAAGTTTCGTTTAGTTTGCATCTCAGTCAACCCATGGCACCTGGGTCTGTTCCGTAACATCTTTGCCAGCGGAGCCTTTGACACGTCACGTGGCCTCCAAGTGCACCTAGCATTGCACTAGCTCCGTGGTGAACGGCGGTCGTTGTTGGCGAAGCCTCACCTGTGTGTGTGTGTGCGTGCGTGTGCGTTGTGTGTGTGTGTGCGCGCGTTGTGTGTGTGTGCGTGTGCCGCCGCGCAGACCCCACGTTCTTCCCGGGGCGGTGTGCGTGCGTGCGCGTGGGCTCCGCGCCCGTGGGCCGACTCGGTGTGCTGCACCCGGGCGTGCTTGCCCAGTTCGACCTCTCGCTGCCGTGCGCCGCCCTCGAGATGTCGCTGGAGCCCTTCCTGTGATGCGGGGGGGGGGGGGGGGAGACGCTCGGCGCAGAGGGTCGCCGTCGGTCCGTAACAAACTCTCCCGCGCAGCCGACGTCACCTCGGCTGCCGTAGTCTCGCATTAATTGACCACTTGTAACGTGCCCCTGTCCCTCCATCCCAGCCATGCCAGCCCAGCTTGCCCCCCTCTGAATAAAGAAACGAGACACGGGACGACTTCTTGTGCTTCTGCTGCGTACGGTGTCGGTGGCTGGCGGTGCTGCTGGTGGTTGTGGTGTCGGGCGGCGGCGTGGGGAGCGGCGGTACAGCGGTCGGCGCGCTGCGCGAATCGGCCTGCGACGATTATCTGAACGGTTCCTGGGCCTCCCCTAGGTTGACTGGGTCTCAAATGAGTACCTGGCGCAGTGTGTAAACATCGCCACTGGGGGAGACAAATGCGGTCGGGCACGGTGCGGGCCAACCTATCCCCTCGTGTGCCGTGCCAGCTTTAATAGGTACTCACTAACAAGCACCTGCCCCAACAGTGTGTTCAGACTATACAGAGGATCTTTATGTCTTTGAGTGTGGTGTGGTGTTGGCTGTGTCGCTGAGGAAGACGAGGCCAGACAAGGTCACTACGATGCCAGGGAGGATGCCATTGTTTTCAAATGACATGTTGCTTCGAGTTAAGTTCGGGGGGGGGGGGGGGGGGTAATTTCAGCCAGGCCTGTCCCAAATCAACAACCCGGAAAACATCCGCACCGGCACACCACATCCCGTATGCACCGTGACCTCTTTGCTACTACGGCCTGTGGCTACTCTGCAGTTGCCGCCTTGCGGTGTGGGGCGGTGGTTGGCGCTTACCAAGCCAGGTGTGCGGTCGCTGCGGTCGCTGCAATCACCGACTGCGGGGGTCACAGTCTCGTCGGGCGGGCCCGTGCAGATTACGCTTTGCAGTAAAACTTTTATTCTTGTAAATTTTGACAACACCGCATTACAATGTATATATGTTACACAAACACGTGACAAGATAACACTTCAAAACGATGACCTCTTGCAGTTACACAGGTTTCAGACGATGATGATGCCGATTCGATGACGGAGATGTATAATCATGATGATGAATATATAATTTTACTGGTGATAAAGTGATTCATATCTATTAATAAATACATCCATAGTAAAAATCATGTCGGAAAAATCAACGCGTTGGCGAAATGACCATGGCAGTTAAAGGCGACCGACAACGACCGATCCGCGAGAGATCCACGGCCTCAACGAAGCCAAGCGGCGCAAAGCACGGCAACACGAAGACGGCGGCACGCACGGCGGGCGGGCGGGCGGCACGTCCGAACGATACACAAACGCGACTCCCTTGATAAACACAAATCGAGGTACGTTACCGAGAGAGGCTGTTGTTACACTGGGCCTGGGGGGGGTTGCCGGGAGGAACGGTCGTGAAACGATTCTCCCATCGCTGTGGGCCATCGTGAGAATAATAATTGTCATCATGATACCATCGTTTTCACTGGCAAGCCAGAACCAACAAACGGTGCTACGCTGCTGGCATCACAAGGAGGCATCTGACTTGGGGGGGGGGGGCAGGAGGGCCTGGGGCGGCACGAACGACGCACCAGTTGCGTGCGACATGCGTCGCCGCGCGGTGACGACACGGCAGCACCGACGACTCGGTTGCCCTACTACGGCGACACGGGTCCGGCTTCTGCGGTGGAAAAACAACCCGGAGCCGCGCCGGGCTTGGGCTGGCTCGGCACGGGCTCGGGTTGTGCAGTGGAAAAGTTGCACGAGATTACCTGCCGCACGCCAACCTATACCGTATCCCCACGCCTGCAAAGGTGACGCTGAGGCAGGCCACTCTACGAAGTCCTCGGTAATTATCCGGTCATCCCAAACCGCCGTGAGACGTCCTTCACCAGAACCGTCGTGCCAACTGCAACAATGGCCACCGGTGGGGGTGGGAGGGGAGGCGAGAGGGGGGGGTGCAAATTTTCCAAACCACGTTTTCGGGAAAGAATCGAGGCAACGCACAGGAGCTGTGGGGGAAACCGTCCATTCCAGCCGGGGTCTCGGCACAAAGCAGCGGCGCGGACAATCGAAAACGCGCAACAAAAGCAAACAAAACCGCGCAACGCGTTGAGACGCTGCTACAATGGCAGGGTGAACTGCGAATGTCTGTGCCCCCGCAAAGGCCATGTACGCTTCCCATCGTGTGTGTAAACATTTGCAATCGTTTCAGCTCAAGGCCGCGCAACATCAAAAATACTAGTCGCTTGGTGGAGCAGCTACTTTCCTCTTCGCTGCAATCGTTCCAACGGCGACGCAAAATAAATCGTCCTACTTCACCGTCGTTACCCATGATGACCATCGAATGTGGATAAAGACCGCTGCGCCTAGCCCCCCCCCCCCACGAAAAAGCACGCCGGTTCATGGCACAAGGGCACAATCCTCTGCCACAGTCCACCGCTTGCAAAACCGCGACCGAGGCAACGATTCGATTGCCTCTCGACAAAGGCCACGCCCCAGGCGGCTCCGATGGCCTCGCCACGCTGCCGCCCGTCCGAGATAATCGCTCCTATCGCTCCCCTACCCCTGCTACTGGCACGGTCGGGCTGCCCCGAACGGCATAACAACTGCAGCGGGCTCATCACGCAGCCTCGACTGCAGCGGCTCACTGCTGCCTCCACGTGCCGCCGCCAACTCCCGGTTATCCGCAGGCAACGGTGGGGGACTAAAAGGGTGGCTCAGATTTCCCCCCAAAAATTACGTTTACGTCAGGCGAAGCGTCGCATTTAATGTTTCGCTAGGTTTTTGCTTTTAAGAAAAAGCTGTTTCGCAGGACATCCGAAAGACCCCAATACGTCAAGCAGGCAGGCAACAAACAGCCCCATTATTTGAAGGTGTAATACGTGCACGCTGATGCCAACGCGTACACGTCTTAAGGGTTTATTACAGCGCCTCCGGAATTGAGCAAGGTTGGAAGAAGTTTGGCAAAGGGAGACGACGTAGAATTGGGGGGGGGGGGGGGGGCGTGGGGAGGGGGGCATTGTCCGTCACCGCTTTTAAAAGTACCGATCGGAATTGGAATCTTTCTTCGTCCTGGAGAAATCCAATGAGCTACGAGGCTTTTACAGATGTCCACAGCAGCTGTAAGCGGTCCAACTTGCCGACGCGTTTGCGCTCACGCGGGCACCGAGCCAGTGACCCCCGACGGGGTGAGGAGCAGCTAAATAACCAAACTAACGTGTGCGTGCGTTGCACGCGAGGAAAAAATAGGTATTTTGATCCAATGTTTTTTACCGCTCGCACGGCCGATCCACAGCCCGGGACACAATCCACCGCGAGCAGGAACGAGAGTTGACCATCACGCTCGGACCGACAGCCAAATCGTAGATTTTACAAACACAGATAATCTCAGTTTAACACGGAGGCTTTCGCGACCAATATCCAGAAGAGTTTTTTGTGTTAGATCGCGTGAATATAAATGTGTCGTTAAACCCGCCACCGCCGACACAGCCAATTAGTAAGGTTTGTCATGTAAACAGAACGTGCCAATTCGTTACGAGTACAGCACGCCTGGGGTGTGTTGGAGAGTAAACCCACTACAACATTTACAATTCGAGTGCCGTGACGTTTCACCAGTAACTACAACAGCCAGCATCATCAGGCGGACAGCCAGAGTTGTGAACTCGTCACCAATTGGCACGTTTTGTTGACGTGACGAATCTTAAGAATTGGCCGTGTCGGGTGGGTGGCGGGTCTGACAACACAACATTTACATATTTACACGCTCTAACCCAAAAACCTCGAATATTGGCAGATAATCTCGACGTTGAAAACGACAGCGCAGCTCGCTTTGACGTAGAAAAATCTCGCGGGGGGGGGGGGGGGGGGCGAGTTTTGCGCGGGGGGGGGGGGCACAGCGGAGCGACGTGACCCCCCCCCCCGGACTGACTGCATTTGGAGGCCGGGTGTGAGCGTGGGTCCCCCGAACAGAAGGCGGTCACTCGCATCGCGGCGCTTCCAGGCACGCTTCCGCGGCCGCCTGGAACGCTCTTCCTTCCCACACCAGGAAGCCACTGGGGGCTGTGCAAGTCATCTAGACTGAGAACCTCATGGGACCTCCTCCCTTGCCAGGATCAAAATAAAAGAATAGGTTTTAACCCGACTGTAACATTTTATCTGCACAATGACACCTTGCCCTATGTTACCCTATTTGTATTTTTGTATTTTTATATTGTGTATTATAGCTATTTTATATTTAATTTTATTCTAATGTTTACATACTTTAGCCCCTTAGTATTAGTTAGACTTTGTGCCTTTAGTATAGTTAGACTTGTACACCACTTATTTAAGATTTAAGATTCCAATATATTGAATGTATGCACCTTCCTGCCAAAGTAAATTCCTTGTCTGTGCGGACTTTCATGGCGAATAAAACCCTTTCTGATTCTGAATAAAACAGGTGTTAAGATGATTAAACACCATACTGAAAGCTTTGGCAAGGAATCGTGTTCAAAGACAATGTACAGTAAAACCTTGGATTGCGAGTAACTTGGTCTGCGAGTGTTTTGCAAGACGGGTAAATTTTTCAAATAAATATTAATTTGATAAACGAACGAGGTCTTGCAATACGAGTACTGTAGTACGTACAGTATACGCTCTGTCTGCCGAGCGTCACGTGATCACGACTAATAATAATAAAGCAATTTATAACGCGCGCAAATTTGCGGACGTAACTGAGCCGATGGTTTTTCTCTCTCTCGCTGCGGGATTGTGGGTAATCGTCTCCCATGCTCGGTCTCAGTTGGCGTGCCTCACTCGTATAGTCAACATTCGTGCGAGCGTATACTGTTCACTATAGCGTTGTGACCACGTGTGTGTGCGTAAAGCATTTTTTGTATTTTGTGTCCAAGTGTAGCGACTGTTCTTTAGTAACTGTCCTGCAAGTGAAAGTCGTCCTCCACAATAACCCTCCTCTCCTCTCTCTCGTCTCCCTCACACCAGCCACGATTAAATGTAATGAATACATTTGATTACTTATATTAAATATAAATAATACAATTATAAAAAGGTATTTTATATTAATAATTTTTATATGAATACAGTATTTTTGGGTTGTGGAACGCATCATCTGAGTTTCCATTATTTCTTATGGGGAAATTCGCTTTGATATACGAGCGCTTTAGATTACAAACACGTTTCCGGAACAAATTATGCTCGCAATCCAAGGTTTTACTGTATATACTACCAGAGCATGTATGTTGTTTGCATGTTCACCACAAGTATATGTGGTCAATGCAGAAATGATTACTTCTGTAGTGTAATAGCGCCGGCTGGTGACCAGCAGCGGCAACTGCGGTGAACAAACAGGACACACGCCGGTGAGCGTATACACGGGTGTTGGCAGGGCGGAGGAACTGGGGCAAGGGTCTTGGAGGGTCCCATCTGGAAGCCCCTGGAAGCTGCTAGTGAGTTCGAGAAGGGAGGCGCGGCCAGGGCGGAGCCAAGCCGCGCTGGATCGTCTCGTTGCCATCGTCACTGCCGACGATGGGGACGAGACGGCTCGTGTTGTGTCATAGGTGAGCGAGTACAGAGTGTGTCCAGGCGAGATCGTGCGTGTTAATAAAGAAGGTGCCTCTACAAACCTCGTGTCCTAAGTCACTGCACTACACTTGCAAAAGGTTTCAGTTTGGTGTTTTAACATCTTAACACCCGTCTTATTGCAGGAAAGGGTAAAACCTATTCTTATAAATTGAGAACTCATTTCTTTCAAACTGCATTTGTGTGGGTTTAGTTTGTTGTTGTCCCCCCCCGGCACCTCCGATTAGCACGCTTGGCTACATACGGTGCAAAAGAAGTTCAACAAACATACACAAACACGGTCCCACCACTGCGACCGGGAAAAACCCCGAGCCTCGGAACTTGACCATGGATGACGGTGTAGGGGTTGGGATCTACGGGGGGGGGGGGGGGAGTGGGAGAATCGAGTTGTGAAAGCGCAGAGGTGTGGGGTAAGAAGCTGCCGATGGGGAAAGATTTGAGGGCGACGAATGTCCGCAGAGGAAGAGGGACAGAGGATAGGAGGACATGGAGAAGGAAAACACGATCAGCCGACGCCGGGCAATAATGACGGAACGTTTGGCCGAGAATGTGGTGCAAGTCTATGCTACCACCGTGGCCTCCCTATTCGCCGTGAAGGGCCTGTCCCCGAAACGTCGCCTATTCTACGTCTACTTTTAAGGCAGGGTTCATTGACAGACGTGTTGAGTTCCTGTGTACGCGTTTGGGTGGGTCTCTGTGTGTGTAATTGTGTGTCATCGTATGGGTTGCTATGCCAGTCTATGGTTCTTCCCTATGCAAGTCTATGGATCATACGCATGTACGCGCGTTTGTATAGGAGTCTGTGAAACGTGTAAGCGTATGCGCAAGTATGAGTCTTGACGTAATTATACGCACTACGTGGTTTGTCCGAGTCTATGGTTCTGTGTACAGGTCTATGAACCATGTAAGTGTGAGTCTACGGGTCTGTATGGAGGTCTGTATAAGGGTAGTGCATGTGAGCACGTGGGGAAATAAAGTCAGACAAGCCAATCCCACGCACTACAGCTATCCCTCGCTCTACGCAGCGCCTTAAGACATTACTAGAAGGTGCCTTACAAATAATTGTTATTAGAATGTAATTTATTATATTAAATGTAAATAATTATTATCAGATGCATTCAAAATAAAAAGGGGCACACAAAGTGAAATCGCACGAGGGGACAGCTGCCTGCTGATTCGCGCACACAAACCGAACCCGCATAGAGCAAAGAGGAACCTGTCACACAGCAGCGTTCTTCATTGCAAGGCCCGCGGGCCACTGGCGGCCCCTGGTGGCCTTTAGTGGGGCCCCTGACGTGCGGCCCCCGACAAAACGCAAAAAGTGAAAACACCCCCCCATCATCGTCATCGTGCTGCTGTCAAACCTCAAATGGTTTCAGTGCGTGGCGGGCCCTCGCACTAATGTCTTATTGGCGAAAGTGGAAACCCCCCCTCTGAAAATTAGTGGAGAACGCCGCTGGAATGGGACCTCTGGCCTAGAAGAAGACGATGACCAGTGTAGACTGGGCTCGATCCGTCGGCACGTCCGTAGACACATTCACAAGGGTGGAGGGGGGGGGGTCGACTACCGTGCTGCCGCGGCTGGAGCCGGCGTACCCTCCAGCCTCCCCGCTGCCGTCTGACGCTCGCTGCGAAAGCCCCCGCTGAAAGCGCCGCCCCCCCCACCGCCCCTCACCTCCCCCCCCCCATTTCAGGCACACGCAGGAGTTTGGCGCCGAGACGGGTCTCGCGGGCGTGCCCGCCGTACGGCCCTTTCGGCTCGCGCGGTTGGGCGCGATGTCCGACCTTCCGCTTGACTACGCGCCGGGAGCTCCCCCCCCCCCCCCGTCGCCACGGTACCGAACGAACGGGGAAAGCTGCCGACAATCGAACCCTCTCACCTGCGTACCGATTTCTCAATGAAAAAAAAAATGCTAATGCGTAAACAAGCGGTATTTAGATTGTTTTATGAAGCGATATGATGCAGCTTTGAAAAAAATCGGTAGGCTGTCAAAGGGTTCAAAAGCCGGCACGGCACAGCAACGCTTCCTCATCGCAATCCGTCACCCCTGTCCGCTGTTCCGCTCGAACCGCTCGTGACGCTGGGGCCTGCGCCATAGCCCACAGTGCACCCTCACCTCAACTCCCCACGCCCTTGATCCAGCGGCGTGGAAAACTCGACGGCGGATGGAGGAGGGGGTCCACCGAGTGCGACGCCGTGCCACGGTCAAGCTGCCTCGACCGCCAGGAGCGGCCCATTCGGCGACCAAAATCGCTCTCAGAAATCGTCGCGTGCCAACTGCCCTGTCCACCCCTGGCCACCGACCCGTTCATTCACATTCCAGGGACCCCAAGCCACGGACCCGTTCATTCACATTCCAGGGAATTGTTCGGCAACCAAATTGCTCTCAGAAATTGTCGCGCGCTAACCGCTTTGCCCAAACCCGAGCGGAATCGGTCGCTGGGGAAAGTAAACGGCGCACTCCGGGTTGCGACCGCCAGCCGCAGCTTGAAAATGCACACGACGCTAACGTGCGAAATAAGTCGCTGCACGTCAGCGAACGGGTCGCTTGAAAGTCTTCCTCAGCTGCTCACAACCAGGTTCTCACCATGGTCAAACAAAACAAACTTGGTTGCACATTGCAAGCGATTCAGTTGCGTGCAACCAAGCTGTGCAACTGAATCGCCGATGAGGATGCTGTGGCAGTTGCCGACAACCCAGCGCCACCCAAAGGAACGGTGCAAACACAGCCCCCTTCGTTCACATTCCAGGGACCCCAAGCCACGGACCCGTCCATTCACATTCCAGGGACCTGGACTCCACCTTCCCTTTTACAGATGTCAATAAATAAATCATGGCAGTTACAACAATAAACACTTAAATACGAAGACGTAAAAAGGAAAAACGTGCGTTAAGTGCAGCGGCGAGCTTGGGTTGTGTGGGAGGAAGTGGTTGTGGGGGGTGAGGGGGCGGAGCTCTTTGGCAAACCTGCAGCAGCTTTCCTTCCCGGGAGAAGGCCCCCGCTCGGTGGCGGGGCACCACCGCCGACGCAAGCACGCACATCCCAAGAGAGCACGCACAACGCGCAAAACAAACGGCGCGACGGTAAATGGGCGGTCGCCGTGCGACGCGGGGCGGAGCGGCGCTCCCCCCCCCGCCACGCTCTCCCCGGCCGGCGGGACAGCGCCATCGGGGGTCTGCCACGGCGAGCCACGGGCGGGGGCCTCCGCTGCTAGGGCGCGCCTCGCTTCAAGCAGAGATGGGGAAATACGTTCAGCTCACAAACTACCGCAGGGCACGTGCCAAGGTAGAGGGGCAAGCCCTGCAAATTGCATTGCTCGCCCCGATCGCTGGCGGGGAAGAGCCTCTCCTAAAGATGGTATTCGGCCTACTCTTCCAACACTGCCCGGATGACTTTGGAACAGCCGCGCTTAACCACACCACATGCGACCTGCCGATAGACTTGACTGCGGTGCACCCGTTCATAATGCTGGGGTGGACGGATGTGTGGAGGGAATTGGGAAAATCGCCCACAGTTTTTCAACTGCCGCGCCGAGAAACCGAATGTCCAAGTGCGCCGACCATCACAACACCACCGGCAGCAGTAGCAGCAGCGGCATCGCCGGGGAGGAAATCGAACGCAGCTTCCAATGAGCCGCGTCACGAGTGGTTGGGATGCAAATTACGATTGACAAACGCAACCAAATTACTTGCGTGTGTGTGCGCGCGTGCGATTCACGAGCGAGCTGGATGTCGTTCCCCATCTCCGAGCAAGTTCACCGCCGTGACGAAGACCCCCCCGCCCAGCGCCTTCACGGAGCTGTTTGCGAGAAAGGCAGGACCGGTGGGCGGGTGAGCCAGCGAGCGAGCGAGCGAGCGGGTACCTTGCCGGTTGACACTGGATGACGCGTCTGCGCGTCGCCGCGCATCGACGCCTCATCACACGGCTTTGCCCTTTGGCCCGTCCCTCCGATTTAAGGCGACTACAGTGAAGGTGTTCACTTTTGGTTGCTACTTGCGATGACTACCAACAAAAAAACAAGCCACACGCACGCGCACACGTACGTACGAAGCGACCGCTGCCACACCGGCGTCTCTACTGGCCGAGGGTTTGCGCCGCCTCGGACGAGACAGCGTCCAGTGTAGTAGACATGCACGCGTGCGCGTGCACACGCGCACACACTCACACGCACGCAGGCACACAGTTCTGCAGAGTCAAACGCTGATCTCAGAGGGACATCTCCAGGGCTTAATTTCAAATGTCAGCCGGGTCTGTCAGAAGTCGGCGACCCAAAATATATCTACGGACCCGGCACACCACACCAAGTATACCACTCGCTACGGCCGTGGCTACGCACGCACGTGGCCACGTGCCGTACCACATGCTCCAGTCTACCAGCGGCTCGTCTCACGCAATCGCAAGCAACGTGTACGCGCACGCACGCGCACGCACGCACGTCCCTGCAAGCGCTGACCCACCCACAGCGGCGCACTGTCCACGTGGCTCCACGCTCCTCCCGCTCCTCCCGCTCCTCCCGCTCCTGCCTCCTCATCCCGCCTCCTCACCAGACCTCGCACTTCTTCGCGGGGTTCATGGGCGTGTCGGGGGGGCAGTTGAAGTGCTGCGCGAACTCGGGGGAGTTGGCGACGGTGCCGATGACGCGGTACTGCGCGGGGCTGTGCGGGTCCGTGACGAGCCCCTCGTGCGTGCTCTCCACCGTGCGCACCGAGCACCACACCTGCGCCGCACCGCACACGGCGACGCACACACACAGCGACGCGCACGGCAAAACGCTCGACACGGCCGCGGCGCGTACCCTCGGGGCGAGCTCGGCACACTCGGCCCACGCCGGCACCTTCAACGCGGCTTCGCCGCGGCACCCTGTAACGCACGTAACACCCTCGCCGCACACGCCACGCCACGCTCACCACGCCACGCTCACCACACCAGACCCTGCCAATACATGGCACACATACGCCACATGCTCAACGCACTCACCTGAGCCACGCATTCCGTGGCACGTGGCGCACTCACCACAGTACGCCGCAGCACACACGGCTTCGAGCTCAACAAAACTGGCCACTTTCCGTAACGCAAATGAAACACTCACCAGGCTCACAACGCCTGTACCAAAGATCCCCCGTATATCCTGAACAGACTGTTGGGGCAAGTGCTGTGAACGAGCACCTATGAAGGCCGGCATGGCACATGAGGGGTTTGGTGGCCAGCACAATGCCCAGCCGCCTTTGTCTCCCCAGTGGCGATGTTTACACACCGTACCAGGTACTGATTTAAGGCTGCATCGACCTAGGGGTGGCCCAGGAGCATTTCAGATAATCGTCGCCGGTGTTGGCCGTGAGCGGGACTCGAACTCGGGTCGACGTGTTCGCAACGGAGCGCGCTAACTGCCACACGCACATTCCTCAACGCACGCACCTCACAACACATGGCACGTGCTCTGCAGGCAGCAGCATACCTGCTGCACATCTGTGTGTCTGACGTCGTGATTAAATACATCTGGCAGCAATGAGTCACCGACATTTATGCCCGGCATCAAAGTGCACTCCCCCCCTGCGTCTGCAGAGTGTAAAACCCGCCACGGCTCGCGTTACTCCGTGAAACTGCAATCCGCGTGTCCTGTGTCCCCGACCGCTCGACGCGCGCGCACACGCACGTGTCGTTTTAACGCAAACGCGGGAGGAGCCGGTGAGTGCAGCGCGGTCGGGACGGGAGGGACAAGGGCGCACCTGGGCGAAGCCCACGAAGAAGAGCTGTCGGCTGGAGAGGTCAAGGGCCGGGAGGGGCGGCTCCTCCCCCGCGTGGCTCACCCACGCCTCGTACGCCTGCGCAGCGGACACACAAAGATAAAGATCCCCCGTATAGGCTCAAGAGGCTTTGTTGGGACAAGTGCCATTAGCGAGCAGCACCTATGAAGGCCGGCACGGCACGCGAGAGGCTGGGTGGCCAGCACCACGCACGCTCGCCTTTTTCTCCCCAGTGGTGATGTTTATACACCGCAGCAGGTACTCATTTGAGGTCGGTTCAGATAATCGCCACCGGTGTTGGCCGTGAGCGGGAATCGAACTCGAGTGGTCGGGTTCGTGGCGCAGCGTAACACTAACCGCTACACCACCGTTCCCCTGCAGCGACACGCACACGCACGAGCGGCACTCTTCCCCCAACGGAGACTCGCGCACACGCCGGCAAGTTTGTGCAGTCGGCATTCTTCCTGTGAGCCGAAGTCGGCAGCCGAGAAGAACCTGCGGACTTTCATCGAGTCTTAGTCCAGCGGATTTCATCTACGCGTTCCCTCGGTCGAGTTACCACACACGGTAAAACGACGCCGATCCAAACACGCCGAGTTAAACCGCGTTCCTGGGTGTGCCGAGTTTGTGGTTCGGAGGTCAGATCAACGAGCCTCGTAGATCCGAATTCAGGCGGCCGCTCGCGATTCAAACCGGCTCCTCGAGGGGGTCAAGCGAGGTCAGGTGACACAAGTGGAAGTGGTGGGCAACCGGAACACATCGGCGGGTGTAAGGTGGAAGGTGGGGGGGGGCGGGGGCAAGAGACAAAACGGTCGACGTGGAATCCTCCGCGGAGCAGAGAGCCTCACGTTGTAGGCCGCCTTGAGGCCGCCGTTGTCGGCGATGTTCTCCCCGAGCGTCTGCTTGCCGTTGAGGTGCTCCCCGGAGAGGGCGTATGCGGCGTACTGCTCGCGCATGCACGCCGTCTGCCGCTTGAACGCCTCCACCGACGAGTTCTTCCACCAGGGCCGCAGGTTCCCGTCCTTGTCGTACTCGCGGCCTGGCGAGGGGCGCGGCGTGGAGGGGGGAGAGGAGGGGGCGGGCGGAGCGGCGTTTTCGCACGACCGTTTCGTCTCGCCTGGACGGTGTTCCACCACCACCGTAATGCAGCTAACAATACAACGCACTCACTCACCCACCCATTCGCCCACTCACACACCCACTTACTCACTTACACACTCACCCACCCACTCGCCCACTCACCCACTCGCTCAGTCAACCACCACCGATGACGATGATGCCGATGGCGTCACCGAGCAAAATCAAGAGCCAAAATTGTGGCCATTTTGCTTTCAACAGCAGCAAGATGATGAGACAAATTTACACCAGTTTCGTCATTGCTAGGAATCAGCAGTGCAGTGCAGCCATCTGCCGCCCTGTGCCTCAGGGGCTGTATGTGGACATGCCGTTCCTGGTCATTGTTGGGGTCAGTTTTGCCCAAGGGCGACAACACACCAACTGCAGAGACTCGCCTGACAGCTAAGTGCATGAGCGTTGCAAACGGAATAATGATGATACTTAGAATACTACACGCAGCAATACACGGGGTGCGGAATTACGGGGGGGTGGGGGGAGGCATACCTTGGTCATCGAACGCGTGCGTCAGCTCGTGTCCCATCACCACGCCGATCCCACCAAAGTTCAGTGACCTTCGCACAGCGGCAGCAAAGACAAAGATCCCCCGTACAGCTTTAACAGACTGTTGGGGCAAGTGCTGTTAGCGAGTAGCACCTAAAGGCCGACACGGCGCACGAGCGGGGTGGGTGGCCAGCACCACGCCCGGGCCGCCTTTTGTCTCCCCAGTGGCGATGCTTACATGCCGCAGCAGGTACTCATTTGAGGCTGAGCGGGCCTAGGGGAGGTCCACGACCGGTTCAGACAATCGTCACTGGTGTTGACCGCAAGCGGGAACCAAACTCGGGTCGTTGGCTTCACAGCTTCACAGCGGCAGCAGCAGCAGTGGCACACGCAGCAGCAGCAGCAGTGGCACACACAGCAGCAGCAGCAGCAGCAGCAGCAGCAGCAGCAGTGTCACACACACAGCAGTGTCACACACAGCAGCAGTGTCACACACAGCAGCAGCAGCAGTGTCACACACAGCAGCAGTGTCACACACAGCAGCAGTGGCACACACAGCAGCAGCAGCAGTGGCACACGCAGCAGCAGCAGCAGTGACACACACAGCAGCAGCAGCAGTGGCACACGCAGCAGCAGCAGTGGCACACGCAGCAGCAGCAGCAGTGGCACACGCAGCAGCAGCAGCAGTGGCACACGCAGCAGCAGCAGTGGCACACGCAGCAGCAGCAGCAGTGGCACACGCAGCAGCAGCAGTGGCACACACAGCAGCAGCAGTGGCACACACGGCAGCAGCAGCAGTGGCACACGCAGCAGCAGCAGCAGTGGCACACACACAGCAGCAGTGGCACACGCAGCAGCAGCAGTGGCACACACACAGCAGCAGCAGCAGTGTCACACACAGCAGCAGCAGCAGTGTCACACACACAGCAGCAGTGGCACACACAGCAGCAGCAGTGGCACACACACAGCAGCAGCAGCAGTGGCACACGCAGCAGCAGCAGCAGTGGCACACGCAGCAGCAGCAGCAGTGGCACACACACGCAGCAGCAGCAGTGGCACACACAGCAGCAGCAGTGGCACACACACAGCAGCAGTGGCACACACACAGCAGCAGCAGTGGCACACACACAGCAGCAGCAGTGGCACACACACAGCAGCAGCAGTGGCACACGCAGCAGCAGCAGCAGCAGTGGCACACACACAGCAGCAGCAGTGGCACACGCAGCAGCAGCAGTGGCACACACAGCAGCAGCAGTGGCACACACACAGCAGCAGCAGTGGCACACACACAGCAGCAGCAGTGGCACACACACAGCAGCAGCAGTGGCACACACACAGCAGCAGCAGTGACACACACACAGCAGCAGCAGTGGCACACACACAGCAGCAGTGGCACACACACAGCAGCAGCAGTGGCACACACACAGCAGCAGCAGTGGCACACACACAGCAGCAGCAGTGACACACACACAGCAGCAGCAGTGGCACACACAGCAGCAGTGGCACACACACAGCAGCAGCAGTGGCACACACGCAGCAGCAGTGGCACACGCAGCAGCAGCAGTGGCACACACACGCAGCAGCAGCAGTGGCACACACACAGCAGCAGCAGTGGCACACACACAGCAGCAGTGGCACACACACAGCAGCAGTGGCACACACACAGCAGCAGCAGTGGCACACACACGCAGCAGCAGTGGCACACGCACGCAGCAGCAGCAGTGGCACACACACAGCAGCAGCAGTGGCACACGCAGCAGCAGCAGTGGCACACGCAGCAGCAGCAGTGGCACACACACAGCAGCAGCAGTGGCACACACACAGCAGCAGTGGCACACGCAGCAGCAGCAGTGGCACACGCAGCAGCAGCAGTGGCACACGCAGCAGCAGCAGCAGCAGTGGCACACACAGCAGCAGTGGCACACGCAGCAGCAGCAGCAGCAGTGGCACACGCAGCAGCAGCAGCAGCAGTGGCACACACAGCAGCAGCAGCAGTGGCACACACAGCAGCAGCAGCAGTGGCACACACAGCAGCAGCAGCAGTGGCACACACAGCAGCAGTGGCACACGCAGCAGCAGCAGCAGCAGTGGCACACACAGCAGCAGCAGCAGCAGTGGCACACGCAGCAGCAGCAGCAGTGGCACACACAGCAGCAGTGGCACACACACAGCAGTGTCACACACAGCAGCAGCAGTGGCACACACAGCAGCAGTGGCACACACAGCAGCAGTGGCACACGCAGCAGCAGCAGCAGCAGTGGCACACACAGCAGCAGTGGCACACACAGCAGCAGTGGCACACGCAGCAGCAGCAGTGGCACACACAGCAGCAGCAGTGACACACACGCAGCAGCAGCAGTGGCACACACAGCAGCAGCAGTGGCACACGCAGCAGCAGCAGCAGTGGCACACGCAGCAGCAGCAGTGGCACACACAGCAGCAGCAGCAGCAGCAGTGGCACACGCAGCAGCAGCAGTGGCACACACAGCAGCAGCAGCAGCAGTGGCACACGCAGCAGCAGCAGTGGCACACGCAGCAGCAGCAGCAGTGGCACACGCAGCAGCAGCAGTGGCACACGCAGCAGCAGCAGTGGCACACGCAGCAGCCAGCAGCAGTGGCACACACAGCAGCAGCAGTGGCACACGCAGCAGCAGCAGCAGTGGCACACACGGCAGCAGCAGCAGTGGCACACGCAGCAGCAGCAGCAGCAGTGGCACACACGGCAGCAGCAGTGGCACACGCAGCAGCAGCAGTGGCACACGCAGCAGCAGCAGCAGCAGCAGCAGTGGCACACACACAGCAGCAGCAGTGGCACACACGGCAGCAGCAGTGGCACACGCAGCAGCAGCAGTGGCACACACAGCAGCAGCAGTGGCACACGCAGCAGCAGCAGCAGTGGCACACGCAGCAGCAGCAGTGGCACACGCAGCAGCAGCAGTGGCACACACAGCAGCAGTGGCACACGCAGCAGCAGCAGTGGCACACGCAGCAGCAGCAGTGGCACACGCAGCAGCAGCAGTGGCACACGCAGCAGCAGCAATGGCACAGCAGCAGCAGCAATGGCACACACAACAGCAGCAGTGGCACACACAGCAGCAGCAGTGGCACACACACAGCAGCAGCAGTGGCACACACGGCAGCAGCAGTGGCACACGCAGCAGCAGCAGTGACACACACAGCAGCAGCAGTGGCACACACAGCAGCAGCAGCAGTGACACACACAGCAGCAGCAGCAGTGACACACACAGCAGCAGCAGTGACACACACAGCAGCAGCAGCAGTGGCACACACAGCAGCAGCAGCAGTGGCACACACAGCAGCAGCAGTGGCACACACAGCAGCAGCAGTGGCACACACACAGCAGCAGCAGTGGCACACACAGCAGCAGCAGCAGTGACACACACAGCAGCAGCAGCAGTGGCACACACAGCAGCAGCAGTGGCACACACAGCAGCAGCAGTGGCACACACAGCAGCAGCAGTGGCACACACAGCAGCAGCAGCAGTGGCACACACAGCAGCAGCAGCAGTGACACACACAGCAGCAGCAGTGGCACACACAGCAGCAGCAGTGACACACACAGCAGCAGCAGTGACACAGCAGCAGCAGCAGTGACACAGCAGCAGCAGCAGTGACACAGCAGCAGCAGCAGTGACACACACAGCAGCAGCAGTGACACAACAGCAGCAGCAGTGACACACACAGCAGCAGCAGCAGTGGCACACACAGCAGCAGCAGTGACACACACAGCAGCAGCAGCAGTGACACACACAGCAGCAGCAGCAGTGGCACACACAGCAGCAGCAGTGACACACACAGCAGCAGCAGTGGCACACACAGCAGCAGCAGTGACACACACAGCAGCAGCAGTGACACACACACAGCAGCAGCAGTGGCACACACAGCAGCAGCAGTGGCACACACAGCAGCAGCAGTGACACACACACAGCAGCAGCAGTGGCACACACAGCAGCAGCAGTGGCACACACAGCAGCAGCAGTGGCACACACAGCAGCAGCAGTGGCACACACAGCAGCAGCAGTGGCACACACAGCAGCAGCAGTGGCACACACAGCAGCAGCAGTGGCACACACAGCAGCAGCAGTGGCACACACAGCAGCAGCAGCAGTGGCACACACAGCAGCAGCAGCAGTGGCACACACAGCAGCAGCAGTGGACACACACAGCAGCAGCAGCAGTGGCACACACAGCAGCAGCAGTGACACACACACAGCAGCAGCAGTGGCACACACAGCAGCAGCAGTGGCACACACAGCAGCAGCAGTGGCACACACACCAGCAGCCGTGGCACACACAGCAGCAGCAGTGCACACACAGCAGCAGCAGTGGCACCCAAAGCAGCAGCAGTGGCACACACAGCAGCAGCAGTGGCACACACAGCAGCAGCAGTGACACACACAGCAGCAGCAGCAGTGGCACACACAGCAGCAGCAGTGGCACACACAGCAGCAGCAGTGGCACACACAGCAGCAGCAGTGACACACACAGCAGCAGCAGTGGCACACACAGCAGCAGCAGTGGCACACACAGCAGCAGCAGCAGTGGCACACACAGCAGCAGCAGTGGCACACACAGCAGCAGCAGTGGCACACACAGCAGCAGCAGTGGCACACACAGCAGCAGCAGTGGCACACACAGCAGCAGCAGTGGCACACACAGCAGCAGCAGTGGCACACACAGCAGCAGCAGTGGCACACACAGCAGCAGCAGTGGCACACACAGCAGCAGCAGTGGCACACACAGCAGCAGCAGCAGTGGCACACACACAGCAGCAGCAGTGGCACACACAGCAGCAGCAGTGGCACACACAGCAGCAGCAGTGGCACACACAGCAGCAGCAGTGGCACACACAGCAGCAGCAGTGGCACACACAGCAGCAGCAGTGGCACACACAGCAGCAGCAGCAGTGGCACACACAGCAGCAGCAGTGGCACACACAGCAGCAGCAGTGGCACACACAGCAGCAGCAGTGACACACACAGCAGCAGCAGCAGTGGCACACACAGCAGCAGCAGTGGCACACACAGCAGCAGCAAGTGGCACACACAGCAGCAGCAGTGACACACACACAGCAGCAGCAGTGACACACACAGCAGCAGCAGCAGTGGCACACACAGCAGCAGCAGCAGTGGCACACACAGCAGCAGCAGCAGTGACACACACACAGCAGCAGCAGTGGCACACACAGCAGCAGCAGTGGCACACACAGCAGCAGCAGCAGTGGCACACACAGCAGCAGCAGCAGTGACACACACAGCAGCAGCAGCAGTGTCACACACACAGCAGCAGTGTCACACACACAGCAGCAGCAGTGTCACACACAGCAGCAGCAGTGTCACACACAGCAGCAGCAGTGACACACACAGCAGCAGCAGCAGTGACACACACAGCAGCAGTGTCACACACAGCAGCAGCAGCAGTGACACACACAGCAGCAGCAGTGACACACACAGCAGCAGCAGCAGTGTCACACACACAGCAGCAGTGTCACACACACAGCAGCAGCAGTGTCACACACACAGCAGCAGCAGTGTCACACACAGCAGCAGCAGTGACACACACACAGCAGCAGCAGTGACACACACACAGCAGCAGCAGTGGCACACACAGCAGCAGCAGTGACACACACAGCAGCAGCAGTGGCACACACAGCAGCAGCAGCAGTGACACAGCAGCAGCAGCAGTGACACAGCAGCAGCAGCAGTGACACAGCAGCAGCAGCAGTGACACACACAGCAGCAGCAGTGGCACACACACAGCAGCAGCAGTGACACACACAGCAGCAGCAGTGGCACACACAGCAGCAGCAGCAGTGACACACACAGCAGCAGCAGTGACACACACAGCAGCAGCAGCAGTGACACACACAGCAGCAGCAGCAGTGACACACACAGCAGCAGCAGCAGTGACACACACACAGCAGCAGTGACACACACAGCAGCAGCAGTGGCACACACAGCAACAGCAGTGTCACACACACAGCAGCAGCAGTGTCACACACACACAGCAGCAGCAGTGTCACACACACAGCAGCAGTGTCACACACAGCAGCAGCAGTGTCACACACAGCAGCAGCAGTGTCACACACAGCAACAGCAGTGTCACACACAGCAGCAGCAGTGGCACACACAGCAACAGCAGTGACACACACACAGCAGCAGCAGTGGCACACACAGCAGCAGCAGCAGTGACACACACAGCAGCAGCAGTGGCACACACAGCAGCAGCAGCAGTGGCACACACAGCAGCAGCAGCAGTGGCACACACAGCAGCAGCAGCAGTGGCACACACAGCAGCAGCAGCAGTGGCACACACAGCAGCAGCAGCAGTGGCACACACAGCAGCAGCAGCAGTGACACACACAGCAGCAGCAGTGGCACACACAGCAGCAGCAGTGACACACACAGCAGCAGCAGTGGCACACACAGCAGCAGCAGTGGCACACACAGCAGCAGCAGTGACACACACAGCAGCAGCAGTGGCACACACAGCAACAGCAGTGACACACACAGCAGCAGCAGTGGCACACACAGCAACAGCAGTGACACACACAGCAGCAGCAGCAGTGACACACACAGCAGCAGCAGCAGTGACACAGCAGCAGCAGCAGCAGCAGCAGTGGCACACACAGCAGCAGCAGTGGCACACGCAGCAGCAGCAGCAGTGACACACGCAGCAGCAGCAGCAGCAGCAGTGGCACACACAGCAACAGCAGTGGCACACACAGCAGCAGCAGTGGCACACACAGCAACAGCAGTGACACACACAGCAGCAGCAGCAGTGACACAGCAGCAGCAGCAGTGGCACACGCAGCAGCAGCAGCAGTGACACAGCAGCAGCAGCAGCAGCAGCAGTGGCACACACAGCAGCAGCAGTGGCACACGCAGCAGCAGCAGTGGCACACGCAGCAGCAGCAGCAGTGACACACGCAGCAGCAGCAGCAGCAGCAGTGGCACACACAGCAACAGCAGTGGCACACACAGCAACAGCAGTGACACACACAGCAGCAGCAGCAGTGACACAGCAGCAGCAGCAGTGACACAGCAGCAGCAGCAGCAGCAGCAGTGGCACACACAGCAACAGCAGTGGCACACACAGCAACAGCAGTGACACACACAGCAGCAGCAGCAGTGACACACGCAGCAGCAGCAGCAGCAGCAGTGGCACACACAGCAACAGCAGTGGCACACACAGCAGCAGCAGTGGCACACACAGCAACAGCAGTGACACACACAGCAGCAGCAGCAGTGACACACACAGCAGCAGCAGTGACACACACAGCAGCAGCAGTGACACACACAGCAGCAGCAGTGACACAGCAGCAGCAGCAGTGACACACACAGCAGCAGCAGTGACACACACAGCAACAGCAGTGACACACACAGCAGCAGCAGCAGTGACACACACAGCAGCAGCAGTGACACACACAGCAGCAGCAGTGACACACACAGCAGCAGCAGTGACACACACAGCAGCAGCAGTGACACACACAGCAGCAGCAGTGACACACACAGCAACAGCAGTGACACACACAGCAGCAGCAGCAGTGACACACAGCAGCAGCAGCAGTGACACACACAGCAGCAGCAGTGGCACACACAGCAGCAGCAGTGACACACACAGCAGCAGCAGTGACACACACAGCAGCAGCAGTGACACACACAGCAGCAGCAGCAGTGACACACACAGCAGCAGCAGTGGCACACACAGCAACAGCAGTGGCACACACAGCAGCAGCAGTGACACACACAGCAGCAGCAGTGACACACACAGCAGCAGCAGCAGTGACACACACAGCAGCAGCAGTGACACAACAGCAGCAGCAGTGACACACACAGCAGCAGCAGTGACACAGCAGCAGCAGCAGTGACACACACAGCAGCAGCAGTGGCACACACAGCAGCAGCAGTGACACACACAGCAGCAGCAGTGACACACACAGCAGCAGCAGTGACACACACAGCAGCAGCAGCAGTGACACACACAGCAGCAGCAGTGGCACACACAGCAGCAGCAGTGGCACACGCAGCAGCAGCAGCAGTGGCACACGCAGCAGCAGCAGTGGCACACACGGCAGCAGCAGCAGCAGTGGCACACGCAGCAGCAGCAGCAGCAGCAGCAGTGGCACACGCAGCAGCAGCAGCAGCAGTGGCACACGCAGCAGCAGCAGCAGCAGTGGCACAGGCAGCAGCAGCAGCGGTAGGAACTTTGATCGCGGGCGAGGCGCAGCCATCGTTCTCCACCGCACGCCGACATTCAACTTAGCGAGTACCCGACAGCGACACGGCTTTTACTCTCCGGGTGAGCGCGCGACGGTGCGAGGGCGCACGCGAATTGAGCGGCGTTACTTGGGGTAGTTGCGGGCGTAGAACGGCGCTTGCAGAATCCCCGCGGGGAAGACGATCTCGTTTTTGGAGGGGGAGTAGTAGGCGTTGACGGTGGGCGGCGTCATGCTCCACCTGTTCACAAAGACAGAGATTCACCCCCCGGGTAGCCTATTAACAGTCCGGTGGGGCAAGTGCTGTTAGCGCGCGCCTATTAAGGCCGGCACGGCACACGAGGGGGCGGCTGGCCAACTCCTCGCGAGGCCGCCTTGGTCTCCCGAGTGCGACGTTAGCACGCGCTGCACCGTGCGTGCGCTCATTTAAAGCCGAGTCGACCTAGAGGAGGCCCAGCACCGGTTCTTGCATTCGTCACCGATGCTGGCCTTGAGCGGAAAATGGAACTCGGGTGTGCCCAGTTCTGAGCACACTGCGCTAACCAGTGTGCCTCCGAACCCCACCATGCAACCGCGTGTGTGTGTGCATGTGCGCACACGGCAGCTGAGGTCAGTGCTACACCAGCAGCAGAAGATGCTAGCGAAGCGGTGCACGGCCCACAGAGGCAAAACAACGCGGCTAAATTGTCTCGTTGTCGAGAGGTGCGAACGCTTGCGTGATGTGAGCGGGCTGATGAGCGGTGGTATGAGTGGTGCGTGTGGTGGGAGTATGAAGGGTGTGAGTGATGAGCGATGAGAGTGATGCGGGCGGTGTGAGTGGTGGTTATAGCCTCGGTGTGAGTGGTGGTTGAGTGCATTACGACTGTTTGCGCGAGTGGTGAGTAGCGTGCTCGCGTGTTGCGATAGGTCCACGCAAGTTGTGTGTCCGGTTAGGCGAGTGATTGGTTTATGCGATTGGTTTGTGATTGGTGAGCGAGTGGTGAGCGAGTGGTGAGCGAGTGGCGGGCGAGTGGCGGGCGAGTGACGGGCGAGTGACGGGCGAGTGGCGGGCGAGTGGCGGGCGAGTGGCGAGCGTCTGGGGAGCGTGTGGTGAGCGTGTGGCGAGCGTGTGGCGAGCGAGTGGGGAGCGTGTGGTGAGCGTGTGGTGAGCGAGTGGGGAGCGTGTGGTGAGCGTGTGGCGAGCGTGTGGTGAGCGTGTGGCGAGCGTGTGGCGAGCGAGTGGGGAGCGTGTGGCGAGCGTGTGGCGAGCGAGTGGGGAGCGTGTGGTGAGCGTGTGGTGAGCGGTAGTCACTGGTCACGGCTGGGCGGCTTGCGGAGCTGCTCTGATGACATGCGCGAAGAGAAGTTGTAGTAGTTGAGAACGTTTTGGAAGTAATCTTCCTCTATAACCTCATACTGGGACACACACAAAGACAAAGATCTCCCGTATAGCCTTCAACATACTACTGGGGCAAGTGCTGTTAGCGAGCACCTATGAAGGCCAGCGGGGATGTTTACACACTGTACCAGGTTCTCATTTGAGGCTGGGTCGACCTAGGGGAGGACCAACACTGGTGCAAAATAATCTTTACTGGTGTCGACCGTGAGTGGGAATCGAACCTGGGTCGTCAGCGTGCTATCCGCGACACACAGAGACACACGAAGCAAACAGCTGACCATGTGCCCAGAACTCGGTAAATCCACCTCACAAATACAGAGGGGGTGGGGGGACACTGGCCCCAACGTTGTTGCAAGCCACCCCTGCTCGCGCACAGTACACGATGACACCCTTCCGATGAACGCGAGCGGCCGCACCGAAGTGGCGAGGACACACGGCGTCGCCGTTCCCTTGGTGCGTGGTGAAGGCCGCAGGCCGGCAGCTCAGCCGGCGCCCAGCTCGCCCCCTACCTGCGTGAACACCTTGTCCAGCTCCTCTGGCTTCAGGATGAAATCCGGGAAGCCGATCATGTCGTATATGGCGTCCGCCTAGACCACACGGCAGCACAGTGGCGGGTGTGAGCAGTGTGACTGACCGGTATCCGAGTGCGAGGAGTGTCTGAGTGTGACCAGTGTGTCAGGTACAGGTGTTAGTGTGACCAGTATCCAAGTGTGTGGACCAGGGGAAGGGGCCTGTGGGGACCAGGGGGAGAGGCTGTGGGGGTCTATATCAGATCGGGGTGGAAACCCCAGCAGCTGGAACGGTGGGGCTCGGTGGAAGACGTTGGGGCGAGATGTGAAGTCCATGCCAAGCCACTGCTGCTGGCCACCCCCGCTCCACGCCCCCCCCCCCCCCCCCCCCGATATGCACGAGACGCAAATTTGTCAAATTTAAAGAAACGTATCTGTAAATTGCTCCATTAGAAAATATACGTTACAAACCATCGCCTGCCCCCCCCACCTCCCCCTACTGCGAAAACTTAGCCGGACCCTCCAAAAAAAGAGTCGTGAGACTCGGCGTAGCGGTGTTGCTGCATCTCGGCCGCTGGCGGTGCCGCGGCCCGGTGAGCACCTTCTCTTTGGCCGCCTCGATCGTTTCGGGGTCCATCCACGTAAGCTTGCCGAGCCCGGCCTCGAACGCCGAGCGGATCTCCGTGATCATGCCCTCGGCCTGCACAGCGAGACACCGCACCGGCACGCCGGTTGACACACGGAATGCCGCGCAGAATAACGGGCTGAATAACGCGCGGGATAATGCACGGGACAGCAAGCGGAGTACCACACGGATTTATACACGTAATAACACGAGGAATTCCACAAGGAATAACGCACAAAATAACATGTGGATCAACACATGGATCTTTGCGATCATGCCCTCAGCCTGCACAGCGAGAAGCGGCATCAACACACGGGACTCGCACACAGATTCGATTCCCGACTGGGGGCGACCCGAGTTGGGAATCGAACCCGGGCCCTTCTTGGCGCGAGGTACAAGTGTCATCGCCGCGCTGCCGCAACCGTGCCACAGGTGCACTAGGCGGTGCCGGAGCTCGTGCCGTGCCCAGCGACCCGGTCGCCGAGGGTCGGGTTGCGGGGGCGCCCGCGACCGGCCGGCGCACTCACCACGGATTTGCTGCTCTGGTCGAAGGTTGCGCGCACGAACATGGCACCGAGCGCAAACCCCAGTGTGTTGTCCGTGTCCTCCATGCAGTCCTGCCAGCGCGGCGTGCACGACTGCTCTCGATCAACACACACGCGTGGCAGGGAACACACGCGCACACACACACACAAAATCATGTACAACACAGAGTACACACACACAGGCACGCGGCACACCGTGAGCACACAGAGTGGCAGGAAACACAGGAAATGCACACAATAATTTAACACTGAACACATACATAGGGCACACACAGTGTATACCCACACACAGTACACACAGCGTAAATAGATATTCACAGTACACACACAGGGCACACACATCCAGTGTAATCTATACACACCCAGTATACAGTATATATATATACACACAAAGGCAAACACATCCCCTATAGCCTTAACAGACTGTTGGGGCAAGTGCTGTTAGCGAGCAGCATCTATGTAGGCCGGCAGGGCACACGAGGGGGTGGATGCGCAGCACTTCGCCCGGCCGCCTTTGTCTCCCCAGTGGTCACGTTTACACACCGCACCAGGTACTCATTTGAGGCCGAGTCGTCCTAGGGGAGGTCCAGAGCCCATTCAGATAATCGTCACTGGTGTCGGCCGTGAGCGGGAACGAACTCCACTACCGCTCTACTGTGGCGGTGATGTACATATATATACACACACACAGTGTACACACAGTGTACATATACACATACACAGTACACACACACATCACACACACAGTGTACACACTCCCAGTACACACAGTGTACATACACACACACAGTACACACACACGCATAGTGCCAGGTAGTACACACATCACACACACGGTGTACACACTCCCAGTACACACAGTGTATACACACACACAGTACACACACGCATAGTGCCAGGTAGTACACACATCACACACAGTGTACACACTCCCAGTACACACAGTGTAGATATACACACACACAGTACACACACACGCATAGTGCCAAGTAGTACACACATCACACACAGTGTACACACTCCCAGTACACACAGTGTACATACACACACACAGTACACACACACGCATAGTGCCAGGTAGTACACACATCGTGTACACACTCCCAGTACACACAGTGTATACACACACACAGTACACACACGCATAGTGCCAGGTAGTACACACATCACACACACAGTGTACACACTCCCAGTACACACAGTGTACATATACACACACACAGTACACACACACGCATAGTGCCAGGTAGTACACACATCACACACACGGTGTACACACTCCCAGTCCACACAGTGTACATACACACACACAGTACACACACACGCATAGTGCCAGGTAGTACACACATCACACACACAATGTACACACTCCCAGTATACACAGTGTACATACACACACACACAGTACACACACACGCATAGTGCCAGGTAGTACACACATCGCACACACAGAGTACACACTCTCAGTACACACAGTGTACATACACACACACAGTACACACACACGCATAGTGCCAGGTAGTACACACATCGCACACACAAGAGTACACACTCTCAGTACACACAGTGTACATACACACACAGTACACACACACGCATAGTGCCAGGTAGTACACACATCACACACACAGAGTACACACTCCCAGTACACACAGTGTATACACACACACACACAGTACACACACATGCATAGTGCCAGGTAGTACACACATCACACACACAGTGTGCACACTCCCAGTACACACAGTGTACATACACACACACACAGTACACACACACGCATAGTGCCAGGTAGTACACACATCACACACACAGTGTACACACTCCCAGTATACACAGTGTACATACACACACACAGTACACACACACGCATAGTGCCAGGTAGTACACACATCACACACACAGTTTACACACTCCCAAACACACAGTGTACATACACACACACAGTACACACACACGCATAGTGCCAGGTAGTACACACATCACACACACAGTGTACACACTCCCAGTATACACAGTGTACATACACACAGTACACACACACGCATAGTGCCAGGTAGTACACACAATACACACACAGTTTACACACTCCCAGTACACACACAGTGTATATGGACGTATCGGCGGTACACCGTAACAGCATAAACACAACGGTCCTCATAAAACAGCTCTAAAAATCTCAATTTGAGCTGACATGGGGGGGGGGGTCCCTGCCAAGAGGGACACCTCCACTCCCTCCCGGCCCAGTGCCGCTCCTGTGCACCTTCTTGGTGCCGTAGATGACCTCCAAGTACTTCTGCTCGGCGTCCTCAAAGCGCTGGTCGAGGTTGGAGGCCATCCTCTTGGCGAGGCTCCACACCATGTAGGTGTTGAGCAGCCTGCGCGCCGACGCACGGGGGAACACAGCATCGCGTCAAGCTCCTGCTGCCGAGCTCTGCCCCGCGGCACCGAGGGCTGGGCTATAACATCGTTCTACTAACATCGTACTACTAACATCGTACTACTAACATCGTACTACTAACATCGTACGACTTACATCGTACTCCGGTATCATTGACAAGTTTTACTGACTGGCTCTGCTGGCTCGCTGCAGCGCGCACGTCTGCGCGATGATGTCACCCGCATCCCACGGCGTTGAGCCTGGGTTCAAGCGTCGCGCTGATTACACAACACCCCCAACCCACCCACCTTCCACCCTCGATTGAAAACGAATTTCTTTAAGAACTGCTTTTTGTGTTTAGTAGTGTTGTTGTCCTTCCCCCGCACCTGCGATGAGCTCGGTTCACTACGTATGGTGTGAAAGAAGTTCAACACACAGACGTACATACATATGTACAGATACACCCAGGCCATGGGTGCCTTGCAAATGCGTAAAGCAGTGCTCGTTATTAAAGAATTTGGTTACTCTACCAACTGTCAACAACACTGCCTTAAAAGAGAACAATATGAAGGAAGAAAAAAACAATCAGCAACGTTTCAGGCAAGGGTCCTTCTCAACAAAACACATCAATTATCGGTCTGGATGCTCCACTGGTGCCAATATTCACCCAAACTCTGCGGTCCCGTATTGAATTTTCTGGCCAACTCCATGAATGAGTGCGAGAGGAAAGTGGAGCGCCCGGAGTACTCCAGTTGCAATGGTTGGGGGCACCATGGTGGCTAGCTGCTGACTCCCTCGCCTGGTATTCCCCAACAGACGACTCTGTTATTGCGCGTGGCGATGTGCGATGTGCGCAAGAGCGAGACGCCAATGTGGAGTTCTGCTGCTGCCTTCAGGAGTGGGGTTCACATCGTTCTGTTGTTCCTCATCCACCGTTGAAGGAGCGTGGACTGTGGTGCTTTACTGAATGGTCCATAAATGATATCATCATATATAATATATAATATGGACCATATAGGGCATATTTCTGACCATCCACCCCCTCGTGTGCCCTGCCGGCCTTCATCGGTGCTCGCTAACCGCACTTGCCCCAACAGTCTGTTGAGGCTACACGGGGAAACTTTGTACGTGCCGCGGTGGCGAGATGTTATCTCCCTCGCCAAGTACGCAGGAGATCGTGGGTTCGAACCCGACCCTTACACCTGTATATTTGAAGTTTGCATGATCTCCCCGTGGATTTTTCTCTCCTGACTTAGAATCAACATTCATTTAAATGATTTAGCGGCTATACATTTCCACGAGATAAGCCACTTCATTGGGCTATCATTTGTGGCCAGGTCACTTCTGAATGAGAGCTGTATCGCTCACCTGGTAAAATAAAAACAGTCATAATAGGGAGTGGTAGTGTTGCAGTTATCGCGCTACGCTACGAACCCGGCTACCCGAGTTTGATTCTCGCTCACAGCCAACACCAGTGACGATTATCTGAACCGGTCCTGGGCGTCGCTTGGGTCAACTCAGCCTCAAATGAGTGCCTGGGACACTGTAAACACCGCCACTGGAGAGACGAAGGCGGCCGGGCATGGTGCTGGCCACCCAACACTTCGTGTACCGTATTGACCTTCATAGGTGCTACATGCTAACAGAAATTGGCCTAAAATATGTTAAGATTATAAAAGAGGGATCTCTATCTTTGTCCGGAGGTGTGTGGGGAGCAGTGGTGTAGCGAGTGGTTCGTGCATTGCGCTACACACCCAGCAACCCGAGTTCAATTCCCGCCCATGGCCAACACCATTGGCGATTATCTGAACCGGACCTGGGCCTCCCATAGGTCGACTCGGCCTCAAATGAGTACCTGCTGTGATGTGTAAACATCGTCACTGGAGAGACAAAGGTGGGCGGCGTGGTACTGGCCACCCATCCCCTCGTGTGTCGTGCCGACCTTCATAGGTGCTACTCGCAAACACCACTTGCCCCAGCAGCCTCTGCAGGCTATACGGAGGATCTTAGTCTTTGTGTGCATCTGCCAGTCGTCTCAGTCAATGAATCCATAAGCACGTGGGTCAGTCCAGTGAGCTCCTATCAGCGAGCCTTCGACACTTCACATGACAACCTCGAGGTACATCTAGCCTAGCACAAGCGCCATGGTGACATCACCGCCACTCAGTGGCGACCAGTGGTTGTTTATTGTTGTGTGTGTGTACGCGTGCGTGTGTCGGTGTGCAACAACCGAGCGATGCGGTGCGGTGACGGCGTGCGCTACGTTTTGTCGGCGCCGCTGAGGAGCTGGGAAACCTTGCGCAGGTAGTCGGTGGCGTACACCACCACGGGCTCCGTGCCGTTGAGCACCAGCGGGTGGAACACGGCGTTCAGGAACGGCAGCCACTCCACAGCGGGTGCCAGCTCCTGTGATAAACACCGCAGCGGGGCGGGGGGGGGGTAGAGACGGCGGCGTCACACCTCGCACGCGTGCGTATCGGATCGTCGTTACGAGTGTTATATATTGGCCCCTGGCAACTCCCCTTCCCATCCCCGCATCCCCACCAACTCCTCTACGAAGATGTGCCGGCCACGCTACACCGCCACCACGGTCGTGCACAGGTGGAAACGATCGTGAAGGCAAAACGGGATATGGGACAATGGCGCGGCACGACGTAACGGGCATGGAAGGAATCCTCATTGCAATTGAAGGGAACTAGTTCCAGCTGTAACTGTGCAGCGGTACGTGTTGGTTGTTGTTTTCCTCGCACTTTCTGTTTATAGGTGGCATTGTGTCGCCACTTTGGAAGGGTTTAGTCAGAGATCAATCGATTACATTTTTGGGCCGCGTTTTGGACAACTGAGAAAATGGGAGACGTCTTCTGGCATTGCTTGGCACAAAGGGCAGCAGTTGGGGTCGATTCGATTTTAGTAATCGGCTAGCATGGAGCAGTAACCTGAACGGAGTTGAGCCAGTTTTGTGTGAGTTACCCAGGTCAGGGATTTTTCGTCGTCTGCTATGGGTGGGGCCAACCCCCTAGCACGACATTGGGGGCTTGTAGGCGTTCAGGCAGTGCATGGTGGCAGCGGTGTGCAAGTGGTTAAAACATTATTTGGTGGTGCTATTTGGTGGAAGAGCATTTTAAGTAGATTGCACGTTAGCAGAGCTAAAAGGAAAGCAAGGTGGATTTCATTTTCCTAGCAGGTGCAGGGGCTTTGAGTAGCTTTGTGCAAGGATGCATCGTCGAGTGGCATGAAGCCAGATATTGATCGGTGAGAAGCTTTCAGTGTTCTTGAATCGGAAGAACTTTGGTTTCTTGGTGGAGATGGTCAATGGGCGCTATGAGGTGGCATCCTGTGGCTAGGCCAAGTGCCTGGTATTGGGAGGTTTGGAGCTTTTGGTAACCTGTAGAGGAAGAGGTTTGGGCACCAAATGGGACAGGCTGAATTGATGATGGGATGTCCAATGGCTTTGTAGGTTAGGAGTAAAGTCTCCTTTTGGTGACCCCAAGATGTGCCGGCGAAAGCTCGTAAGATGTTATTTCGTTTGTTAACTTTTGCATGGACGTTTCTGCCATATTGAGCGAAGCTGATCATGGTGTCAAAGGTTACACCTAGAATTTTTGGGGTTTTTGCTCGTGGGAGGCGTTGGTTGTTTTTTATGATGTTGGGATGTAAGTTGGATGGATGAAGATCAGGTGTGAAAAGGGTGACTGTTGATTTGGATGTTGAGAGTTGAAGCGATCTATTGGCTAGGAAAGTGCCGAGCCGTTTTAGATAGGAGTTGATGGAGTTTTACCATTTTGGGTATATTTTGATTAGAAGTGTAAACTGTGATGTCGTCGGCATAGCTGACTACTCGTACTCCTTTTGGAGGAGTTGGTAGACCGTGAGGTAGGCGTTGATCAGCGCTGGGGATATTATGGAACCTCGTGGTACTCCTGCATGAATGTTTAGTGAGGAGGATTGGACATCACGAAAGAGAGTCGGCGTGATTGGCATCCCCTTAGGTAATTTGTAAGCCAGCAAACAAGGCCTGATGGTAGCGTAGAACCCTGGATGATGTTGATGAGCGTGAGTTGGTTAACGGTGTCAAAAGCCTTTGTAAGGTCAAGGGAAGTGACGGTAGTGCTGGATGGGGCCTGTTTCTCATTGAAACCGTTTGCAACTGGGGTGGTTATGTTGAGAAGAGCTGTTGTTGTTGAGTGTGCAGGGCGAAAGCCGTGTTGGTGAGATGATGGAGGTAAGTTGGTGGTGATGATTGGAAGGATGAGGGCCTCTAAAATCTTGATCGATGGGCAAAGTAGGGAAATCGGCCTGTAGGACGCTTGCTTGATTGAGGATCTTTGCCAGGTTTTGGAAGTGGGATGATTGTCGATGATTTCCAGACGGCCGCAATGAGGTTGCACTGGAAGTGAGGCGTTAATGGTGGAGGCGGGAAACTTGATGCCAAGGGGGCCGAGGTGTTTGAGGTGGGCATAGCTATGCCATCGGGGCCAACTGCGGAATCATTCTTGGCTTTTTTGAGAGCTAGTTTCACCTCTTCAAGGCTAAATTGGGGGGCGTCGTTTAGGGGGTAGTTCCTTGATTTGACGGATTTTTTGACGGGTGGATTTATTGGAAGAGTGTGGAACGACTCATGATAAAAATTTGTTGAAGTGTTGGCGATGTTATTATTGTTTATGATGGATTTGTTGTTGAAAGTGATTGCTTGCACAATTGGGTGGCGGTTTGGAGTGTCCAAGGCTTTGATGGTCTTCCAAAGTTTTGATGAGTTTTGGCGGTGGTCAAAATATTCAACAAACTAGTACCAGCGTTCTGTTTTGGCTTGATTGATTAGCTTTGTGATTTCAATATTGAAGGATGGGATTTGGGGTGATGTATGATTTTTAGTCCTAATAGTGTTTTGTTGGTTTATTAGCGTTGAGGCTTCTTTAGGGAGGCAGGGAAGGTGTTGCTTGTAGCAACCCACCGGGATGGTGTGCTTGGTGGTAGTTGCGATGATGTTTCTGAAAATCTTTTCAGAGTTATGTGCGGATGTGTGGATATGGTTGATGTTGTCGGCGAAGAATGCTTCTGATTCTGAAGTAAAAAGTGGCCAGTTGGCTTTTTAAAAGTTGTAATACGAGCGGTTTTTAGGAGTTTGTGAAGGCTTGCGGCATTGACGGTCAACACAAAAGGCAGGTGGTCAGATCCAAGGGCTGTAAAGACTTGAAAGGAGGTTTCCTGACGCTATTGAGATATCTGGTGAGGATGAAGGGCTAGGTGACAGAACTCTGTTTTATTCTTTTCATTGAGTAGCCCATAGGGGGAGCCGTTCAAGATGTCGGCAATGAGGTCGCCACGTGCATCTGAAAGGGAAGGGTGCCAAAGTTTGTTGTGGGCGTTGAAATCTCCAATAACAATTGAGTCGTTGTTCGGTAAAAGTCGATTTATATTGAACTGATAGTTGTGAGGCTGAGAACCGGTTGGTGGGATGTAGACGTTAAATATAGTGAGTGGGCCTAGATGGGATTTGATACGGACGATTAAGACTTCTGTGGTGATATCAGAAGGAGGCATTGGGATTTAAATTTCTTCAAATTGATGAGGAAAGCTAGACCGCCACCAGCTGTTGGTCGGTCTCGACGGAGGAAAGTGAAATTTTGAAAGTTGGGCGGGCGAGAAGTGGATTTTTATTTTGTTTCTTGGATGGCGGCTATATTATTTGAGTTTTGTTGTAGGAAGGTGCAGAGTTCAAGAGATTTGTTGTTGATGCCGTTGATGTTAAGTTGAAGTATTTTAGGTCGTTTTTGTTGTGATTGAAACGGTGGTTGCAATGGATGAGGTGGTGGTGCTAGTGTGGTTATGCAAGGTGGAGTTGTTGGAGTGGATGATGTACAATATTTGCAGAACCAGCCGGAATTTGAACTGGGGATGCGGGCTAAAAAGTAGCGCAGCGTTTGTGGTACCAAGCTTCACAACCGTTGCATTGGATACAATTTGCATTGACGTTCTTGCCGCAGCCGCCACAAGGCAAAAACGGGGCCTGGATTCAATTCGACGTCCCCAGCAATAATGAGAAGCCAGCTCCAGTATGCCGGGAGGCCTGGGCTGGCTGGCGAAAAAACAGGGAAGTGCGAGGGGTGATGATGTTGCCATTAGCAAAGTGCTTTCGTAGGACTTGGTCTCTCCGCTTCGAACAAGCGGCAACACTGGAGAGTACGGGTTGGTGGACTGTACGGTCACCTGCTGCTGCTGCTGCTACCGCCCCACCCATCAACAAGGCTGAACGGCGGCAGCTGAACGGCGGCGCCAGAGCGGCGTGCCGGCTCGCAGCCAGCACCGGTGCACGGCCAGATGTCAATTTGTAACTTTTTTAAATTGTTATTCAAGAAACCCAGAATACAAAGTAGATACCAAAGAGGGGAGGGGGCGGGGGTGGGAGGGGAAACAGCGAATGATGTGAACCAAACCCCGGAGCGGTACACCCTCAAAAGTTGGGGACCGACCAGTGGGTGACTGGGCTCACTGCCCAACCGCGGAAGGGTTAACGATCGGGAGCAAGGGCATTTATGGGAAGGGGATGAAGATGGAAGAAGGGGGAGGGGTAGGGGGGAGACATAATGTAACCAAACTGAACCAGAAATACAATAACATCAACACAATGCCCAAGTTAGGCATTCTTGTTTTCTCAAAGGAGCGCTGACTAACGACCGTGTGTTAATAGAGGTGGTCTCGTGTCCAGAGTCCATCCCTTCACCCCGGGCCTCCATACAATTTTTTTACTTTTGATCCCATCTCAAAAAACCAAGTCGCCAATCCCTCCGCCACGCCGTCCGCAAGAAGCCGTTTTGATTCGGAACGGAGGAAGAACAGAGTTGGGAGACCCCCCCGCCCCCTGCTCCTCCGGCGACGCGAGAGCAGCACCTGCAGCTGCACGATGCTCATCTTGTGGTAGATGTCCTCCTCGTCGCGCCGCTCCTCCTGCTGGCGTCGTCAGGTTCGCGATCTCCGTCTCCAGGTGCAGCACGCGCTCCAGCAGCGCGCGCGTCGCGTTGGGCTCCCCGCCCAGCAGCACGCACACCTCCACCATGTAGCTCAGGTACGCCGTCAAGACCTGCCGTACACACACACAAGGCACCCCCCCCCCCCCCCCCCCCCACCGATAGCCTTATCAGACTGCTGGGGCAAGTGCTGTTAGCGAACACCTATGAAAGCTGCCGGCACGGCACACGAGGATGGGTGGACACCACCACCACACCCGACCACCTTTGTCTCCCCAGTGGCGATATTTACACATCGCACCAAGTACGGTTCGGATAATCGCCACTGGTGTTGGCCGTGAGCCGGAATCGAACTAGGGTGACCGGGTTCGTAAGGCAGTGCGCTAACCATTACACTACCGCGATACACACCACACACATAGAGATACACACCACACACACACACACCACACACACCACACACACCACACACACCACACACACCACACACACACACCACACACACACACACCACACACACACACCACACACACACACCACACACACACACACCACACACACCACACACACACACCACACACACACACACACACCACACACACACACCACACACACCACACACACACACACCACACACACCATACACACACACCACACACACACACCACACACACCATACACACACACCACACACACACACACACCACACACACACCACACACACACATATACACACCACACACCACACACACACAGATACACACCACACACAGCTACACACCACACACACACAGCTACACACCACACACACACAGCTACACACCACACACACACAGATACACACCACACACACACACACACACACACACACACCACACACACACAGCTACACACCACACACACACAGCTACACACCACACACACACACCACACACACACACACACACAGATACACCACACACACACAGCTACACACCACACACACACAGCTACACACCACACACACACAGCTACACACCACACACACACAGCTACACACCACACACACACAGCTACACACCACACACACACAACTACACACCACACACACACACACACCACACACACACAGCTACACACCACACACACACAGCTACACACCACACACACACAGATACACACCACACACACACACAGATACACACCACACACACACAGATACACACCACACACACAACGCGCACAGCATCGGCGTACTACGGTCAAACCTGCACCACCACGCACCCACCACACGCAGCGCAGGTCAAGGGGCACGTGTCAAAGGTTCGTCGCGAGCCAAGGGGAGCAACACACCTTCTCGTTGGCCGTCTTGTTGAGGTAGTAATCACGGGACGGCAAGCCCAGGTTCGGTTGGTCCACCTGCATTAACCACACGTGCGAGTGCGCGTGCAAACTTACACACGCAAACACAAAGCGTGCAAAAATACACACACAACACTTGCCAATAAATGACGTCAGCACAGCGCGTATGCCAGGCTAGGTGCATGCTGAGATCAGGGGGTGGGTGGCCACCACCACTCCCAGCTTCCTTTGTCTCCCCAGTGGCGATGTTTACCGGGTACTCATTTGAGGCTGAGTCGACCTAGGGGAGGCCCAAGACCGATTCAGATTATCTTCACTAGTGTTGGCCGTTGAGCGGGAATCGAACTCGGTCGCCATGTTCGTAGCGCAGTGCTCTGACACACACACACGCACACATACGTGCACACACAGACCAAACCACATCAGCAGCCAGCTGCGAGCCAGGACGTGCGCACGTGCCTGGATGACATTGGAGTTGGAGTTCTTGGAGTCGGGCCCCACGTAGACGGAGAAGAAGGGCGTGGCGCGCACCATCGACGACACCAACTGGAGCACATCCTGGAAGGAATCCTTGTCCCAAGCGCCGGTCACGTTCCAGCCGCCAACCTGCTCGCGGACGAGACCGCACGCACGGACGCACACACGGACGCACGCACACACGGACGCACGCACGGACGCACACACGGACGCGTGCACGCACGCACGCACGGACGCACACACGGACGCACGCACACACGGACGCGTGCACGCACGCACGTACGCACGGACGCACGCATGCACGTCAGCCTCAGTGCTGACGTGCAGGCCATCGTCAATGCCTCCGGCCGAGTCTCCTTGGGAAGCAGAGTCGAGCGATATTGGCCGAGGTCATTTGCAACGCCAGTAAGCGACGCCAATGGCTCTTCTCTGACGAAGAGCGAGCGGATCCTGGCCTCGGCTGGCGTGGAGGGGGGGGGGTTCGTCGAGGTCGGGATCGTTTGAACGTCGCCTCCCGTGACCCCGACGTTTAAAGCGACCACGACGTAAATTCTCGTAACCCTAGAAGAGCCTCCCTCTTCCTGCTTCTCCCCTCACCCACCCCGACACCTAATCTCTGGGATCAAAACCCCAACATCCTTGTCCGATCGCTCTGCTTTGCAGACTTTTAAGTTATAAATGCGTGTTACTGGAAAGAGATGTGTTATTAAAACCTATTTATATATGCTTCCGCTTGTTAAACGTTTAGTTCATTCAGTAAATGGATTCTTAAAATGTATTTATAATATAATTGTGTTTCTGCTGTCTGTTGCTGCTGTGTCCTGTACAAAGCTTTGAGATCCTTGGTGATAAGCGCTGTATAAATTGAATTATTATTATCAGCCTTGTATTTTGTACAGCTGTTTTTGGATATGTTGTGTGTGTGTGTAACGGAGCGGTAGTGTGACGGTCAGCAAGCTGCGCTATGAACATTGCCACGGGGGAGACAAAAGCCTCCGGCCATGGTGGGTGGCCACTCAACCCCTTGGTGCGCCGTGTCGGCGGCCTTCACAGGCACTGCTCGCTAACGGCACTTGGGGAGAGAGAGAGGTCACCTTGTCGATGAGGTCGATGAGGGGCTGTGCGCCCAGCTCCTCGATGTGGGCCTCGTTCATGCAGGACTGGTAGTAGCGGTGAGCCTTCCGCTCCGCCTCGCTCGAGCTCACGTTCGCCGTGCTGTTCTCTTCACGACGACGATGCCGCCGCCGACACGCAGGGGGAGGGCGGAGCCAACGGGGCAAAAGATTAACGGGGAAAATCGCGTCCGCGCACGATGCTGGATTCAGTTGACGGTTTCCGTGATTTTGTATGTGCGTATTTTGAACTTCTGTCACTCCGTACACAGCCAACCGTGCTAATAGGAGGTAAAACATACATAATACTTCTGAAGTATTATAAATGTTCAGGAGCGAGATGCCAATGTTGAGGTCTAATGGCCACAACGAGAGGGCTTCAGGAGAGTGTTCGTGGAGTTTTGCTCTTTTTCTTCCTCCGTACTACGTAGTTCATAGTTTGGGATGTACGGCCAGAGTCGCGCACTACCGTAGCTTGTCCTTAATGTACCTCTATGTACCTCTATAGGTCTCTATGTATGTCTATGGGTTTACTATATGACTCATAGTTTGGGTTGCATGGCCACAATCGCACTGCTGTAGCTTGACTTTAATAACAAGTTTTTAACTGGCAGTACGGAAGCTGATGGGTAGCTACCATGACTAAATTCGTTTTGGATAATTACAAAACGGTACTTTTTGATCGGGATTGTGTTTCAATGCTTCGGGAAACCCTTTGATCAATCTGGCCAGTTAGTGCCAAACAGCAAGAACACTTTATAACAGAGATTCGATCATCTTTACATGAGTTATAGTGCCTACCCGTCGTGGACAGATGGACGGACAGAGCTAATGCATAAACACTTTCAACCTCGGTTGGAAAGTGTCCACTAACGAGGAAAGACCACGCTAATGGAAAAAAGCAATTATCGATCAGAAACATCACCCCCTAATGCAAAGCCACCACTTCGAAACGGCCAGAAAAATGATATTTACCCGTCACTGCAAGCATCCTAGCTGCACTAATCACATACTGGAGGAGAATATGTTTGGCCTGGCAAAAAACGTGAATCTAAGCCAAGCCCCGCAACTCAACTCAGTTCTGTCACTGCAAGAGACTCTTGCAGTGACAGAAGTGACAGAGCCTTGTGTGAGCATGAGTGTTGGGTCGCCCACGAGATGTTTCTGAAAGTCCTCTTCGACCCCCAGTAAGAGGTTCCCCAACGTCGCTCACAAGAATAGCTGCCGACGGGGTGGCGATGTGGTGCATTAGAAGCGGACTGCGACAGAATCACCCATCTTGCAGATATTAGTCAGTCAGTTAAAAAAGTGGGGCACGTCACATGATTACTCGATGGATAGCAACTGTCAATTAATGCACACAGAGATTAACCCGCAAATAATGATTAACTCGGTATTTTTGTTGTTTACCTATTATATTATTTTGCCCATTTTTACATTAAACTTTATTTATTCAATAAATTACGTGAATATCGCACATCAATGTCGTTATTTTGTATGATCTGTAAACCGCAGAATGTAATTTAAGATAAAAACAGACATTTTCAAGATGGCTGCCCGATCGACTTTGAGCTGGCCGACGGATTGACTGAGCGGAATCGATACAATTGGCCTGGATTCACGATCCGCAATGACCATATATGGGAAAAGACATGCCCCCATTCGGCCAATGCCACGCCTACTTTCTTCCATATATGGTAAAATGTCTGATCGGTGATTTCTTTGCGTGTACGATTTTATCGTATTACAGCGCACAATTACAAGAGGTGGAAGTAACGAATCAATCGGAGAGCACAACCTCAAAGTAAAACGTCCCATGAGGGTTAAAGCAGAAAATGAATACACTCGTCAGGAGAAGCGGTGGCGCAGTTGTAAGCGCACTGCACTCTGAACTCGAAAACCCGGGTTTTAAATTAAACAAATTACAACTAAGCAAAATATTTTACCACACTAAGCTGAATAGAAATGATAGCTCAACGAAGTGGCTTATCACGTGTAAATTTATAGCACCCAAATAGTCCAAACACGTTGATTATAAATGTGGAGTGAAAAACCGGAGGACCAGGAGAAAAATCCACATGACCACAGGGGGAGAGAGACACCGCAAACTTCAAATATAAAGCAGGCATCAGGGTCGGGATCGAACCCACGACCTCCTGCACATCAGGCGAGGGATTTGACATCATCAATCCACGAACGCGGCTAACATCGGTGGCGAGCGACGTCCGAACCGGTCGCGGGGAGCCACCCCTTCGTATCACCAACCACGCCACGCTGCCGTGCGGGCACGGCGGCGTCGGCAGGAACGCCGCACGCGGACACGTGCGCACGCGTACCCCGAACATCGTCAGCGTCGCTCACCGAGCAGTCCGCGCATCACCCCCTGGTTCTGCTCCCAGAGGTTGTTGAAGGTGTTCCAGCGCGAGCGGCCCTCCGGCAGGGGGTTCCTGCGAGCCCACCCGCCGCACGCGTACGTGAAGAAGTCCTGGCACGGGCTCACGGAACGGTCCATGGAGGCGAGGATGCGTGCCGCCACCCCCACGCACGACTCGGACAGGCACACCGAACGCGACGGGTCTAGGGGGGGGGGGGCAGGGGAGGGGGGGTGCGGAGATGGGGGGGTTGCCTGGTGTCACATCAGGGCTGGTTGCTTGCTTGTTTGCACGTGGCGTCTGTGTGTATGTATGTTGAACTTCTTTCGCACCGTATGTAGCCAAACGTGCTAACTGGCGGTGTGGGGAAGGGTGCCCTGCTCGAGGATTAAGGATTTGCATGTAGAGGGCACTTGCAAATTACCTGACGGAGTAAAAATCACAAACCAAAACTGCTGCGCTCGTGTGAAGCTACTGCAGAATTTGTTGGCGAAGCGTAGCGCCTTCGTGACCGCCTTGTGCTTTAACAATGGCGGGAATACCAAATGTGCAAATGGAATGATTTCATAATGATTTGACGGTTACGTTGCTGGTGATGGGATGGCGATGACAGCACCACCTACCCTAGCTGACGATGTGATGGTGATGATGTGATGGTGGTGATGACACCACCTACCATTGCTGGCGATGGTGGTGTGATGGCGATGACGACACCATCTGCCGTTGCTGGTGATGGTGACGTGATGGTGATGTGATGGCGATGACGGCACCACGTACCGTTGCTGGTGATGGTGATGAAGATGAGACAGGACGTCAGGGCGACAGCCATGACGGGCGTGAGCGTGAGCAGCAGCAGCTCCAGGCGAGTTCGTCTCCTCAGCAGGCCGGGAGCCCATCCTGTCAGGCGGCTGTACCCAAAGCGCACCTACTCTCACCCGCAGCACAGAGGCAGCGTGGCCAGTGTGTCACCAAACGGCACAACAGACGGTGAGACCAGTGTCTCTCAAGTGCCAGTCTGACCGGTGTCTCCGTGTGACCAGTGTCTCCCCGTGACCTGTGTCTCCGTGTGACTGGTGTCTCTAGGTGGTTGGGGCGAGTGCTGACCTGTGGAGGGTGGTCGGCCACACCTTCCTCTATCACCACGTCGGTCCCCTCCTCATCGTCGAAGCTTGTGCGCTTGTAGTTTGACATCTGCAGACACGGCAGCCGAAGTCGGGTAGGGCGGGGGGGAATTGTTGTTTAAGAGAGCGCGACGTTTGACAAAAACCGCACGGCTGATGGGCGAATGGCAATGCCCAAATCAGCCGGAATGCGCCCGATAATCTAGCCGAGTATCGGAAGCTGAGCAGGGTTGAGGCTGGATAAGCGCTCGGTTGGTCGACCACGATGTGTAACAAAACAAGACGTGCAGCATTAACCAGGGAGGCCCGTTGAGCTCGAACAACGAGCGCCTGCGACGAGTTGCGAACGCGCTGCCCGCTCGGCGATGTCCCCTCGCTCTCACGAATCCAGGGACATAAAAACGTCCTGCGCCACCGTGTCTGGCCCTTTAAATGGTGACCGTGAGACGTGACGTAGAGGGGGGTGGTGGTGTTGATGCTGAACGTGCGGCGTCATCAGCACAGCGGAGGCCACACGAGAGATAAAGCGGTGGCGGCGTGCTGAGACAGGGGGAGCAGGGTGATAAGAGGGGTGGTGAAGGCCGGGGGAAGTGGGGGTCGGGGGGGTGAAGAGGAAGTTACAGATCGGAGAAGGAGGAACTGGCAGAGATGGAGACAGGGAAGTTGAGAGGCGGGAGATGACGCGAGACAAGAGAGCAGTGGAGATCGAGAGGCCGGCGAGGTGTAAGGAAGGAGAGAGGATCTCTGAGTGGAGGGGAGCTGGGGACGGGGATTCTGGGGGCACAAGGGAGGGGCGGTGCCGAGGGGAGCGGGGATGGGTAAGGGTGTGATGAGTGTAATGGGAGGTACGGGTGTGATAGGGGTAGGGGGTGTGATGGGTAGGAGTGTGATCGAGGTAGGTGGTTTGATGGGTAGGTGGTGTGATGGGAGGTAGGGGTGTTATAGGGGGAGGTGGTGTGATGGGTAGGGGTGTGATGGGAGGTAGGGGTGTGATTGGGGTAGGTGGTGTGATGGGTAGGGGTGTGATAGGGGGAGGTGGTGTGATGGGTAGGGGTGTGAGAATGCGTGGAGACCGGGGGGAGGCTGCGATGTGGGAGGGAGGAGGTGGGACATTGAGGAGCTGGGTATGAGACAAGAGGGTGATGAGTGGGAAGCCGGGGGGGGGGGGGGGGGGTGTCGCTGGTAGGGGGCGATGGGCGCGTGGAGGGAGAGTGCCCGTCGAAGGTGGCGAAGAAGGGTCGCGGTGGAGGGAGAGGAGACCGGGGGAGGGTGAAGAGGGTGGAGACACACGGGGGGGGGAGAGTGGAGACACACGGGGGGGTGGGGAGGGTGGAGACACACGGGAGGAGAGGGTGAAGAGGGTGGAGACACACGGGGGGGGAGAGTGGAGACACACGGGGGGGTGGGGAGGGTGGAGACACACGGGAGGAGAGGGTGGGGAGGGTGGAGACACACGGGGGGGGGAGGGTGAAGAGAGTGGAGACACACGGGGGGGGAGAGTGGAGACACACGGGGGGGTGGGGAGGGTGGAGACACACGGGAGGAGAGGGTGAAGAGGGTGGAGACACACGGGGGGGGGGAGAGTGGAGACACACGGGGGGGTGGGGAAGGTGGAGACACACGGGAGGAGAGGGTGAAGAGGGTGGAGACACACGGGGGGGGGGAGAGTGGAGACACACGGGAGGAGAGGGTGGGGAGGGTGGAGACACACGGGGGTGGGGAGGGTGGAGACACACGGGGGGGGAGGGTGAAGAGAGTGGAGACACACGGGGGGGGAGGGTGGAGACACACGGGGGGGGGGAGGGTGGAGACAAACGGGGGGAGGGTGGAGACACACGCGGGTTGGAGGGTGGGGGGGGAGACACACGGGGGGGTGGGGTGGGTGGAGACACACGGGGGGGGGAGTGGAGACACACGGGGGGGTGGGGAGGGTGGAGACACACGGGGGGGGGGGGGGGTGGAGACACACGGGGGGGGTGGGGAGGGTGGAGACACACGGGAGGGGAGTGGAGACACACGGGGGGGGAGTGGAGACACACGGGGGGGGGGAGACACACGGGGGGGGGGGGAGTGGAGACACACGGGGGGGGGTGGGGAGGATGGAGACACACGGGGGGGAGGGTGGAGACACACGGGGGGGGGGTGGAGACACACGGGGGGGGGGGGGTGGGGGTGGAGACACACGGGGGGAGGAGGGTGGAGACACATGGGGGGGGAGGGGGGGAGACACACGGGGGGGAGGGTGGAGACACACGGGGGGGGGGGGGTGGGGGTGGAGACACACGGGGGGGGGGAGGGTGGAGACACATGGGGGGGGAGGGGGGGAGACACACGGGGGGGAGGGGGGGAGACACACGGGGGGGGAGGGTGGAGACACACGGGGGGGGGGGAGGGTGGAGACACACGGGGGGGGAGGGTGGAGACACACGGGGGGGAGGGGGGGAGACACACGGGGGGGGAGGGTGGAGACACACGGGGGTGGAGGGTGGGGAGGGTGGAGACACACGGGGGGGAGGGTGGAGACACACGGGGGGGAGGGGGGGGAGACACACGGGGGGGGGAGGGTGGAGACACACGGGGGGGAGGGTGGAGACACACGGGGGGGGGAGGGGGGGGAGACACACGGGGGGGAGGGTGGAGACACACGGGGGGGGTGGAGACACACGGGGGGAGGGGGGGGAGACACACGGGGGGGGAGTGTGGAGACACACGGGGGGGGGAGGGTGGAGACACACGGGGGGGAGGGTGGAGACACACGGGGGGGGAGGGTGGAGACACACGGGGGGGGGGAGGGTGGAGACACACGGGGGGGGGAGGGTGGAGACACACGGGGGGGGAGGGTGGAGACACACGGGGGGGGAGGGTGGAGACACACGGGGGGGGGGGGGTGGAGACACACGGGGGGGAGGGTGGAGACACACGGGGGGGGGGGAGGGTGGAGACACACGGGGGGGGGTGGAGACACACGGGGGGGGGAGGGTGGAGACACACGGGGGGGGAGGGTGGAGACACACGGGGGGGGGAGGGTGGAGACACACGGGGGGGGGAGGGTGGAGACACACGGGGGGGGAGGGGGGGAGACACACGGGGGGGGAGGGGGGGAGACACACGGGGGGGGAGGGGGGGAGACACAAGACACACGGGGGGAGGGGTGGAGACACACGGGGGGGAGGGTGGAGACACACGGGGGGGGGGAGGGTGGAGACACACGGGGGGGGGAGGGTGGAGACACACGGGGGGGGAGGGGGGGAGACACACGGGGGGGGAGGGTGGAGACACACGGGGGGGGAGGGGGGGAGACACACGGAGGGGGGGGTGGAGACACACGGGGGGGGAGGGTGGAGACACACGGGGGGGGGAGGGTGGAGACACACGAGGGGGGGAGGGGGGGAGACACACGGGGGGGAGGGGGGGAGACACACGGGGGGGAGGGTGGAGACACACGGGGGAGGGAGGGTGGAGACACACGGGGGGGAGGGGGGTAGACACACCGGGGGGAGGGGGGGGAGACACCGGGGGGGGGGTGGAGACACACGGGGGGGGGGGAGGGTGGAGACACACGGGGGGGGGAGGGGGGGAGACACACGGGGGGGGGAGGGTGGAGACACACGGGGGGGAGGGGGGGAGACACACGGGGGGGAGGGGGGGAGACACACGGGGGGGGGGAGGGGGGGAGACACACGGGGGGGAGGGGGGGAGACACACGGGGGGGAGGGTGGAGACACACGGGGGGGGAGGGTGGAGACACACGGGGGGGGGGAGGGGGGGAGACACACGGGGGGGGAGGGGGGGAGACACACGGGGGGGGGGGAGGGGGGGAGACACACGGGGGGGAGGGGGGGGAGACACACGGGGGGGAGGGTGGAGACACACGGGGGGGGAGGGGGGGAGACACACGGGGGGGAGGGTGGAGACACACGGGGGGGGAGAGTGGAGACACACGGGGGGGGGAGGGGGGGAGACACACGGGGGGGGGAGGGGGGGGAGACACACGGGGGGGAGGGGGGGAGACACACGGGGGGGGGGGTGGAGACACACGGGGGGGGAGGGTGGAGACACACGGGGGGGGGTGGAGACACACGGGGGGGGGGGGGTGGAGACACACGGGGGGGAGGGTGGAGACACACGGGGGGGGGAGGGTGGAGACACACGGGGGGGAGGGTGGAGACACACGGGGGGGGTGGGGGTGGAGACACACGGGGGGGGGAGGGTGGAGACACATGGGGGGGGAGGGGGGGAGACACACAGGGGGGAGGGGGGGAGACACACGGGGGGGGAGGGTGGAGGACACACGGGGGGGGGGAGGGTGGAGACACACGGGGGGGGAGGGTGGAGACACACGGGGGGGAGGGGGAGAGACACACGGGGGGGAAGGGTCGAGACACACGGGGGGGGAGGGTGGAGACACACGGGGGGGGAGGGTGGGGAGGGTGGAGACACACGGGGGGGAGGGTGGAGACACACGGGGGGGAGGGGGAAAGACACACGGGGGGGGGGAGGGGGGGAGACACACGGGGGGGAGGGTGGAGACACACGGGGGGGGGGGGTGGGGGTGGAGACACACGGGGGGGGGAGGGTGGGGAGGGTGGAGACACACGGGGGGGGGGAGGGGGGGAGACACACGGGGGGGGAGGGTGGGGGTGGAGACACACGGGGGGAGGGGGGAGGGAGACACACGGGGGGAGGCTGGAGACACACGGGGGGGGAGAGTGGAGACACACGGGGGTGGAGGGTGGAGACACACGGGGGGGGAGGGTGGGGGTGGAGACACACGGGGGGAGGGGGGGAGACACACGGGGGGGGAGGGGGGGAGACACACGGGGGGGGAGGGTGGAGACACACGGGGGGTGGAGGGTGGAGACACACGGGGGGGGAGGGTGGGGGTGGAGACACACGGGGGGAGGGAGGGAGACACACGGGGGGGAGGGTGGAGACACACGGGGGGGGAGGGTGGAGACACACGGGGGGGAAGGTGGAGACACACGGGGGGGGAGGGTGGAGACACACGGGGGGGGGGGAGGGTGGAGACACACGGGGGGGGAGGGTGGAGACACACGGGGGGGGAGGGTA